CCCCCGTTCGGGCCCTTCCCCTCCCCCCCCCCCCCGGCCACGCCTCTTACTCCGGATTAAGGCGCGCGCCCCCTTTACTCCGGATTAATTCGCCCGTCCTCGCCCGCACCGCGGCCGCCATTACCATCTTTTTGCTCTCGGCGCCCCCGCGGCTGCCCTGCCGCGCCATCCCGCCGCCCGCTCCGGTACGACGAAGCCTCTGAGGGGGAAAAAAGGGAGGGAAAGAGATTCGGCTCCGTCCGTTCTTCGTTTGCCGCCGCTCTCGGTTTCCCCTCAGAATGCCGGGACTACGGCGCCCAGCATGCCCCGCGCTGAAGAAGCGCGCATGCGCCAACCGACACCGCCCCCTCTCCTCACTAACAACCCCGTAGCCTGCCGGGAGCTCGGAGATTGGCTCGCGCGGGGAGCGTGGTCTCCGGCTTACCCAGCATGCCTTTCGCTCCGCAAAGCTTCAGGAAGGGGACGGCTTGGACTACAACTCCCGAGAGGCTCAGCCGTGTCGTCACTGGAGAGAACGCCGTAGGGGAGAACCTGAAGGCGTCGTGCGTGCGACGAAACAGAGCGCCTCCCTAAGAGGAACGACTTAGGAATGAGTAACGCGTCCCGTTACCTTAAAAAGTAACTTTCGGTTTTTTAGTTGGATTTGCCTCCTCAGGGTGGAAATGAGGTCTGCTCATAAGAAGGAAGGATTTTAGAGAGAACCTGTGATGGAAGAGGAGGGGGAGTATCACAGACTTCATCATCATCATCATCATCCTGCTGATATACAAATATTATATTATTATTATACATAAAGCTCTTGTACGTAGAAAAGTAGGTATGCAAGAAGAAGTGCTTTTGCTTGTTTTAAATTAAATGTACTGATTAATTAAAATTTATTAAAATTTAAATTCATTTATTTGCATTATTCCCGTATTTTGCCAAAATGGGGCACCAAGTGGCTTCCAGTGATCCGTCCGGCACAGAATCTAAAAAATATACAGCACACGAGGAAAAATGGATGGGGAGGGAGGAGGAAAAAAAACACACGAAACCTCCAGCACCCCTTTTTCAACCCTACGGTAACTTTTGCAGGGCCAAAATGTAGTGGCCAGAATGATTTCCGGGACCAATAAATTTGATTATATACCTCAAGTTTGGACTCACCTGTGTTAACCTATACAAAAGTCTATACAGTGAGGCAATATGAAAAAAATAGGGTTGGGGACACTGGGAGTCGCAGTCCACCTATCCCCCCCCCCAAAAAAACCCTCTGGTTTTGATCATTTTCAACACCTCCTGCTTGCTTTCAAGGAGACCCAAAGCAAAGCACCTGACGGGGGGGGGGGGACGGCGACAGCCCTCGGGCTGGCCTGGTGCACAACCGAGTCTCAAAGATAAGGGAGGTGAGGCTGTCTCTATTAATAAAGTGAGAAGCTGCACATCCACCCCAAGCTGGCGATAACCTCTGGGAAGGCTAGCCAGGCATGTTTCCAAAAGAGAAATTCTTCTTTCTCTAGCAGCAAAGGCATGCTCCTGGTCGAAAGAGTTCTCCAAGATACTAATACAGTGGTGCCTCGCTAGACAGTTACCCCGCATGACGGTTTTTTCGCTAGACATTGGCTTTTTGCGATCGCTATAGGGATTCGAAAAACAGTGATTCCTATGGGGGAATTTCGCTGGACAATGTTTGGTCCCTGCTTTGCAAACTGATTTTCGCTAGACAACGACTTTGACAGCTCCCTCTGCACTCGCAAAACAGGTGTTTTCAGGATCTAAGCTTCACAAGACAGCGATTTAAACAGCTGATTGGCGGTTCGCAAAGCGACTTTCCTATGGCCGATCTTCGCTGGACAACGACGATTCTTCCCCATCGGAACGCATTAAACAGGTGTCATCTAGCGAGGCACCACTGTACTCACGTCAATAAAGCCATAATGCCTTGAACACTCACTACATGGGGAGAAGGTTTCTTTATCATTCATGGGGCTTCCTCTAGACTGGCATGTTTTTGGTTAAAACAAACAGCAGCAAGGGATGGCCAATATTTGCAACTCACCCTTCCCTGGGAAAAAGGGATGAGTGGAATTTAAAATCTCATGGGAAATTGCAGAGATCAAGGTAGGTGGATTTCCCCCCCCTCAACCCTTTCTCTATATAGGGGGAGCTGACAGGGAGGGTGGCATCACAGGGAAGGGGGGGAAAAGCCGTTGTAGACAGAATCCAGACACCCCTTGGTTTTGCTGACGCTGCACGCTGCATTTTAAAAATATAGATTGGATGAGCTTTGGGGCTGATTATGTTTATGCAGCGTCAATCTTTGTTTACAGATCAAGGCGGGAAAGCAAAATAATGGTACTGCTAGTCTCTCTCTCTCTCTCATACACCCAACACACACACACACCCTTTGGTAGCATTTTTCATCACCCGCCAAATAGAAAGAGTTCACAAAAAATCTGTTTAAAATAGTACACTTAATTTACTTACTTTCTAACCGTGCTGCTTACCGCAGCCCTCCTCCCACTGCTGCGGAATGGATTTGTAACTCTGTTTTTTCAGTTTGAAACACGAAAATAAAAGTGTGTTAGAGCTTTCCTTTCTTTATTACTTGCGAGCAGGGATGGGGACCCTCTGACTCGACTTGCTGTAAAGTTGGGCTTCGGTCACACCGGCGACTCCACTCAGACCTGACTTGGGTTTTTGTTTTTAATGACTCAGACCTGACTCACGACTCAGAAGCCACTCATCCTCCACTTTTTCTTGTTTTCAATAAGGATTCGAACTCAGGACTTGGTACCAAGGACTCAGACCCAAAGATATGCCAACTTCCCTCCTTACCAGGATCTGCATTAGCCCCGATCCAAATTAGGATGACCACCTAGAAAGAGAGGAGATTTTTTTTTACTCCATCCAGCGGTTTCTTTTATTCATCGACTCCCTCACTTTAGGCAAGCAGTTGAGTTTTATTTTATCAATAATTTAGAGCTAAAAAAAGAGAGAGAGACCCTTTTTTTGGTCCACGCCTCTGAGAATCCCCCAGCCAGCAGATAAATGTGGGAGTTGCCATTTTAAAAAGCAACGTTTTCCCGAGCTTTGATAAGAACAACGTCAAAAGGAAGGCAGAGAGAGGTTTTGAGAGGCTTGCCAAAAATCAGGTGGGTTCAGTATCTTTCTGCGGTCAAGTCGTTCGGATTTAGGGCGGCTCTTTCTTCAAGGTAGAGAGTGACTCAGAAGCGGTTTCCCCTTCTCTTCTTCCCAGGACCGGGCATAGCTTGCCCAAGGCTACCCAGGCTGGACCTTCTCCCATGAGAATCCAATTCCCAACCTCTGGCCCTGTAGCCTTTTCTGGAATTCAGAAATGTGATGTGTGTAGCTTTTGGACTACACATCCCAGATTCCCCTCACCATGTGGCCTTTGGCGTTTTGGGAGTTGTGATCTGAAACAGGCAGAATTCTCTAGCCGCAGAACGGATGCCTTGAGTTCTGTTTTTCCCTCCCATCCCCAGAATGCCATTTGGAACAGGAAGTATCATCCATCAACCTAACAGGGGGGCTCTTGTTTTCCCCCCCCCCTTCTTCTCTTCTTTAGATGCTCCGGAGTCCTCCTTGGGAACTTCCAAGCAAGGGTGGCACCTAAGTTGCAGGATCCGTGATGGTGGAAGGAAGCGCCCCCGAGGACCGCAGCTCCTAGCCGATCTCGGCTACTGAGGATCTTGCCGAGCGTGCCGTCCACCGGTGGTTCTGACTTCTTTTCCAACCAGCTGTGGAGGGCAGGGGTGGAAAGAGGCAGCCGAAATTGCCCGCAGGAGGCCTCCGGAGTTTCCTATCTGTTGCCTTTTTCTCTCTCTTCCTTTTCTCATCTCTTGCTTCTTCTTAATTCCTTCTGTCTGGCCCGGAGAAAAAGCAGAAGGCAAAGATCTTTAAGGCTGTCAAATCTGATCAGGCCCAGATGAATCATTGACTCGGTTGGGGACTGGGGTGTGTGCGCGTGTGTGTGTGTGTGTTTGTGTGCATGTGCGAGAGATTTGAGGAACAGATCTGGACTTCTTCCCAAACTGCAGATACCCAAGAGACGTCTGCGAACGCAATCCCCAGACAGGAAAAAAAAATTAATATTTTTGAGACATCCCTGGAATTGGAACAAGAGATGGGGGGCTTGTAGTGATACACCCGCTTGTAGTGATTCAGACTCACTTTTCTGCTTCATCATGTGCATAGCGTTCTTGCTTAAAGAAGGCGCGTCGTTCTGAGGCTACCCGACTCTGGCCTCATATGAGAAGGCAACGCTCATTGGAAAAGGCAGGAAGGCGAGGAAAAGCCGAAGGCAGCAAGACAAGAGGAAGAGCTAGCATTAGATGGGTTGACACGGTGAAAGAAGCCACAGCCTATAGTCTAAAAGGCTTGAGCAGAGCTGGGCATGACAGCATCTTTTGGAGAGAAGAAGAAGAAGAAGAGAGAGACCTTACTGGCCCGGCGTTGAGTGAACTGTTGAGTGGGGAAGAGATGGGATCCCCACATCCGACTCCTCGTTTAACAGTCTGACCACCACCCAGTCATCCTGCCTCTTATATTTGGCTAGCCATGCCCTCTGGAGCAAAATTTGGAAGTAACTTGTTATAGTTACCTTTAACTACTTTTTAGTGATGAGCAGTGCAGCTAGTTATTACCAGTATACGTGTTACTTGTAACAAGTAACATCTATGTTATGTATGGGTAGTGAGAGACAAGTAGTTTCCTTCAATTATTTTTAAGTGACAAGATTTCCACCCCTGCACCCCCAGGTTTTGTGACATTTCTTACCCATCTTAAGTGGCAAAGTTCTGATATTTGTGTAAATATTTCTAAGGTGCAACATCAGAATTGGCCACTAGGAGGAAACAGAGAGCATGTCCCTCTATTCCCCCCCGCCTCCCTGCTAATGACAAAATGAATTTACGTACTTGTATGCCCAGAGCAAGGAAAACAATAACGGCAAAAAGTAGCGAGTAACTCAACTAGTTCATTTGAAACTTTACATTTTGAACTCTGCTCCAAAAACATGCCCATGTGGGAATGGAATCAACAGAACAATCACTTGCAGTTATGAATGCAGTATCTGCTATAAAAATAAGCAGTTACTTTTTAAAAAGTGGCCAAATTCATTCATACAGTCCAGCCAAAATTGAATAATCGCAACAAAGATCGCTTTCCAAACGAAGAGAAAAAGCCAGAATATATAGAATATATGCTTAATGCACATGACATAATCCCCCAAGTTGACAATCACAGTTTCAATTTCTAGGGAAGACTCTTGGCTTTTAACCTGATTGTATACAATGGGATTTTCCTAAAGTCACACGTTTTCTGAATCACGGCTTGGCATCCATGGTGGACTGGAGTCTGTTATAGATCATCACCTCTGTGAGTTCACGGGGTTCAACACTGGTGAAGAAAACATCACTTTTTGCTTAATTCTTTGAATGGCAGGGAAATGATTGGGGGGGTGTTCCTCCAGGGAATGGAAAGCAGAAGGTGTATGCATTTTTTTCCCTATCCTGTTCACATCAAAATAATAATAGTAAATGATAAAAAATAATAATATTTGTGTGCCGTCAGGTGCTTTTCAGGGTTTCCCAGATACAGAGCATTCAGAAGTGGTTTACCCTTCTTCTTTTCTGGGGTTCCTCTAGGACTGGGCAGCTTGCCCAAGGCCACCCAGGCTGGCCCTTCCTCCTAGGAGGCAAAGTGGGGAATCGAACTCCCAACATCAGAGGTGATTGGCCCTTCCTCCTAGGAGGCAAAGTGGGGCATCGAACTCCCAACATCAGAGGTGACGCTGAGTGAGGATTCTGGGAACTGTAGTCGAAAAGCAATTTTCCCACGCTCTTCAAATAATTTCTTGTGTGCACCTCTGGCCACAAGGTCTCCGTCACAGAGCCTGGAGTACAGCAGGGCCCCATATCCGTGGGGATCGCTTCCCTGCGAAGACTGAAAGAAGTGAATTATGGTAGACACAATTTTAATAGCTGTAGAAGAGGTAGCTGTGTTAGTCTGTGCAAGCATTATAGGTGAAAACAAAAGGAGAAGCGAAAAGAGACAAAACATGGTGACACCATCAAGACTATATATTGTGAGCTTTCCTGGACAAATCCACTTCCTCAGACATAAGAGACATCATTTAAATTGTGAATGCTATACATAGCATGGTCTCTGGCTCCCTCTAGTGGCCAGTTCTAGTAACTTCATCTTCAGAAATATCTATCTCTAGCATTTTTCTTTCAATATTTTTAATATTTTCAGACGGAGCATAAGTGAACTAGCGGATACCGATCCCACGGATAAGAGGGTCCGACTCTAGATTAATTTCTGCACTTCAGCTCCCAGAATGCTCCTTGCCAGTGCGGCCAGCGGCCTTGCTAGCTGGGTGATTCTGGGGACTGTGTTTTTTCTCTCTGAAATAACCTTGGGTGTGTCCGCCCTACCAAATTAAGGCTTATTGAAGTCTGTATAATTCTTATTACTTGCTCTAAAAGACTGTGGGGGGGCTCCATTTATGTGAAATAGCCTGTGAGTCGCGTTTGCCAGGTTTCTCAACCCAGCTACCCAATTTATGAGAATTGTTTGTGAGTCAAAGGTAGAGCAGGACGTGGAAGACTCGAGTTCAAGTTCCCGCTCAACCACAAAAGCTCACTGAGGGTGGCAGTGGTAAAACACTCCTTGAACAGCTCCCATCTCTTCGAAAACCTGCCTTCAGGGGAACTGTAACTCAGAAGTGACCTGATAGCCCATCACTTGTGACAATAAAATGGGCAACGCATAAAGGCACTGGAGGAAAACGAGGTCTGGAGCAATCAACCCTGTTTCGGCAGGCGGCCCAAACAGGAGCAGCTTTCGGGAAAATGCACGGGAAACGTGGCAGTGGTAAAACACTCCTTGAACAGCTCCCATCTCTTCGAAAACCTGCCTTCAGGGGAACTGTAACTCAGAAGTGACTTGATAGTCCATCTCTTGACAATAAAATGGGCCAGTGTTTTGGCAATGCTTGAAGGTACCGGAGGAAAACGAGGTCTGGAGCAATTGACCCTGTTTCAGCTGGCGGCACAAACAGGAGCAGCTTTCAGGGAAATGCACAGGAAACCGATGCCCTCTTCCCTTTGTCAAGGAGAAGACTCCACCTGTCAGGCAGCAGCCTGCCTTCACCGCCTTTAAGCAGGCGCTGCGGCTTTGGTAGAACACATGTCAAACAGCGCTAGCTGCAGGATTAGTGCCAAAGGCAGACGGGGAACAGAGCTGGATTGAGCAGGAAAAGCAGGCGGGATGATCCTATAACGATTTTCACAGCTTCCCAAGTTGCTAATTAGCTTGTTTTCGTTTCGCGTCCAAACCAGACACCAAGTTTGATTTTTGGGAAACGAAGCCGCTTTAAAGATCTGTCTCTGGAGGAGGTCCTGGGTTGTCGCCTCCTTCTGTGGAGGCCATCCTGGTTGTCAGCCCTGCTCCCCCAACCCTCCCCTTCCTATGAGATATTTTGCAAAATCATCTGATCCGACCCAGACTGTGGACGCCTGCATATTTTAAATTTTGCGGGATGCTTGTGTGTGACTGTACTCATTAATATCTCTGCAATCCAAACATTTTGGCTGGCTTAATCGGTTTGATTTAGAGGTCATTGGAGTCGTATTTCTCTGTAGCTCCGGGGTATTTTAAATTAGGACGCTTCTTCTCTGGCCTGTTTTTAGAGTTTGCAAACTTTTGAGAAACAGTCTATGGTATAAAGGATACTGACGCGTCTTGTTTTCCATTTGCTTCAGTTCTACGATACAAATACATCAATGCCTACTTGCTTGTGCTGATCATATCTTATTTTGCCTTTACAAGACTCCTGTATCTCTCAAAATTAAACAGAAAAGGTTATGCCACCAAAGGCAGTGTTCCTCATTACTGAAAGCAATCAGACAGGAAAAACTGCATGTAGAAGCATTTCCCCTTCCTATGAGTGATTCTAGACGGTGCTCTCATTACACAGTTACCCTGCCTTGCCCAAGAATTTGGCTGCAGAGTTTTGAATTTCTACTTCAATTCTTCTAGCTGCACAGCAGAAGTGCAGGGATTCATAGACCAGAGTCACTTCAATCACCCCTTTTCTCATTAACTGGCACTTACAGTCTCAGTAGCTCACTCTGAGATATTAGTCAGCGAAAGAATAAAAAAGTTTCACTACTTACCGTTGAACGGATCAAACTGCAGACTGGCAAAACGTGACTGCTTTGAGCAACAGATTTCAGCGGATTCACTGACTTAAAACAGACAACAGAGAGGAAAAAGGAACTGAGCAGAGAGGTGGGGAATCCACAATCTTTAGTGTACAAGAATTGAGCAGGGGAACACCAGGAGCATTTCAGATAGAGGATCGCCTTCCATGAAAGAGTGGTTGACTGCCACATCGTCAGGGTTTGTAATCTGAATGGAGCATCCTTCATCCTAAACTTCGTAGCTGCCCCAATGGTGAGAGGGGTCTATGCCAGCAATAGGATTCTCTTTTCAGCTCCAAGCTAAACCGTCTCTCTTTCTTCATCTCTTCCTGCCCATTCATTTTATTTTGGAAGCCGCTCTGCCTGTATGTGTGGTTTCAATGCCAGCTTTCACGCTCCCCTTTGTACAGTTTAACTGGAATCCCAGTTAGGAATTCCACTTAAAACTGGGAGAGGTTAGCTCCACCAGATCTGGGTTTTAAGTGACCTTTAAGATGTGTTCCCCATCGCTTTTAACAAAGATGTTGTCAGCTGAAACGCTGGGCTGGTTGTTCTGCTTTTAAGGGCTATCATCCTTGTGACTTTAAAAAGTCATTTTCTAATGGGGGGTGACCCGTTTTTATATTCATTCCAGGTTTTTTTCTGGAAACATCTCCTGATGTTTCCTGTTCTAGAAGTGAAGCAAGACCACCAAACGCTAGATCAGGAAACCGAAAGGCCGGCCAGAGAAACTGAGGAGCTGGGCTGGGGGGGGGAAGCAAAAAGTCCCGTTGACTGGAGGGTGTCTGTTCTTGTGGTCTCATTATCTCATCCGAAGTGGTGCTTGACTCCACGAGCGAGCATCTTTGGGCTGAGCCGGGCCAGGTTCCAAAAACCTGCAGGGAGGCAAAGGGGTGGGGGAGAGACGAAGGGGGTGGGGAGAGTTTAAAACATCATCCTCCGCCTAAAACAGTTGTCAGGAGGACGTGAGCCAGAGAAGGAATTGCAAGGGTTTTTCTTACCGGGCAGGCTCAAGATCCTTGGGATCAGAGGTGCCCATCTGAGAGGTGCTTGAACTCTCTTGTGCCTTGAGAGTGATGTGCAGGAGGAAGCCGCAGCGAAGGGAGAGAAGATCTGAACCACAGTGTTTCAAGATGGGCAGCTGGGCACAGCTGGCATCTCTCCTGCTGCTCGTGTGGGCAGGGACCGATCTGGGGGTGAGGGGGCTCAGCCCGCACACCAAGGGGAAGGAGGTCCCGGAACGGCTTCAGCATCGCCTGCAACGCGGCTCTTGCACGTATACTTTCCTGCTGCCGGAGGTGGGGGGCTGCGACCCAGCGGAGGTGGAGGACCAGGTGTCCAACTCGCTCCAGAGAGATGCCCCATCGGTAGCCGAAGCCAAGTGGCCAGTGAAGAGGTTCCAGCAGCTGGAAGATCTCATGGAAAACAATACCCAGTGGCTGCAGAAGGTAAGGTGTACAGGGGCTGGAGCATATGCCATTTTGGCTTGGTTATTTCAACTCTAAATCAGGAACATGTGGGTGCCACCAAGCAGGGCTTGAGAAAGTTACTTTTTAAAGACTTGTTGTTTAGTCGTTAAGTCATGTCCGGCTCTTCGTGACCCCATGGACCAGAACACGCCAGGCCCTCCTGTCTTCCACGGCCTCCCGGAATTGGGTCAAATTCATGTTGGTTGCTTCGATGACCCTGTCCAACCATCTCGTCCTCTGTCATCCCCTTCTCCTCTTGCCTTCACACTTTCCCGACATCAGGGTCTTTTCCAGGGAGTCTTCTCATGAGATGGCCAAAGTATTGGAGCCTCAGCTTCAGGATCTGTCCTTCCAGGGAGCACTCGGGGTTGATTTCCTTCAGAACGGATAGGTTTGTTCTCTTTGGAGTCCAGGGAATTCCAATAATCTGCCAGCCACTGTGGTCCCTAGCTCAGAAGATGTAGTCTTAAGGCCTGCCCCAGGTATGACTTACCTAAAACACTACCTTTAAGACACATTTCCTTCTGCGTATTTCCCCTTAATCTATGCATCCTTTCACACTTTATTCCAAACTGGAGAAAACAACACAGAGAAGTGTGAATTTCCAAGTTGGGCATGAACTGCCGGATAACTCAGCGGTTTAGGCACTGGTTAGGTGTTCGATTCCCCACTGTGCCTCCTGGACTCCATGATCCATAGGGCCTCTTACAGTTCTAAGATGATGAGGATGATGTTTTGAAAGTACATTTATTTGTTTGATTTATAGACTGCCCATGTAGCCAACCGCTACTCTCGGTGGTGTACAAAAAAAGCATAAAACATAATTTATACAATTGCTACAGACACGAAAGAGTAACACAGATAGATAACAAGACTGGCAGCAATAACCATTAGGGAACATAAACTGCAGTGTTGTATTCCTCTCCTCATCAGACCACAACGCATTAATAACTGGCAAGACAACGAATTCCATGTGATCCTGTAGCAAGGGAACGACAACAGCAGCCGATCTGCTGAGATTTTTGTACATCCCTATAAGATACGGCATTTACAGTATGTTCTAAGAAAGCACCAAATAAAGAACTATCTGAGTTTCTCTACTTTCTGCAAGTTGCTGTATAAATGAAGGGGGGGTGGAATCAGCTCTGAGCTGTCACAGGGAAAACATGAAATTATGGGATGCCCTGTTTGGTAGAGGTCGCCGTGGGTCTGAGCGGTCCTGGGTATTCTCAGCTGATGAGTTGACTTCTCCATCCATGCTCACCCTCCCTTCGGAGGGGACTCCTTTTCTCACACAATGCCCTGAACATCCCACGATTTGGGGACAGCCAAGAAGCGTTCATGTTACAATCTTGAACTGGGAGGGTTTCCAGGAACGATCCTGGCTCCGGGTTCCTTGACCGAGTCTTGCGCACATTCCCCCAAACGAGTTCGCTCGGTCTCCGGATTTTCATCCAGGGACCTGTCAATTCTCTTGGCCAGGAATACGACCGTGTCTTATTCCCTTAAATAAAAGACATGTGGCTTTCCCCCCCATCCCAGATAATCTTGCCAGTTTCTAGCCCTGCTTAGGTGCCTTTCAGAGAACTTCATCTCAAAACATCGCCATTTCTGTGCTATGGAATGCCTCTCTGGCTCAATTATTCAAATATTCTTAAATATCCCCATCTATACTTCATACATGGCGCTTCCCTCTGCTGTCATTGTCTACAATCCCGGAAAAACGCTGTGCATTGAAGGAAGGAGACAGTGGCCAAGAAAGCTGATGCTGTAATAAAATGTGTTAGTCTTCAAGCTAACCCTCTTTGCAGGTTTTGCTTGGGGAGGTGCGGGGGAGTCATAACACGGCAACCCACAGCTCAGAAATGGTACTTTATTTGGATGAATGCTTTCAAGGAGTTCCCAAATTTGTGGCAATCCCTCTGCGATCTGTCCCCCCAGCCCAATGGATCAAAGCTCCTTTATAGACAGAAGAGCAATCTAGGCCATCGTTTCACTCATCATTTGGCAACCCTAATCTGACATCATGATGGACAGAGGGCTTCTCCGGTACAGTGCCTCTTTCTGTGTATCCTTTTAACATCTGCACAAGGAGAACCACTTTCCCCACAATGAGCAGGCTTGAGTCTCTATCACCCTCCGAGCACGCCAGCTCTGCTCTTCGTCCGTGCCTCTGTTCTTAAAATAACAATACGACACACTTATCAGTTTGTGCACATGCAGAATCCTGGCACAGACGGAGGCTGGCAGAAGCAGGAGGAGGAAAAGAGGGTGATATTTTTAGGTGTGCGTTGCATGTGCCTTTTAAAAATCATCATAAAGTGCGGCATCATTTAACAACTCGCTAGATTTAGACTGTTAAATGCATTGTGACAAATACTGTGCACTAGTGGTTATGAACCCGTTTTGATCATCAGGACTAGTAACATGAGGGCAAAATAAGAGCTGTTCTCTCATCTCGTGAATTGCAGTGTGGAAGAAACTTTCCTAATGAGTTCTATGAAAGCATCTTCTTGACCCCGAGGGCCACATGGTGCACATATACACTCATGCCTACCCACGGGCCTTAATAACTATGGGAAAGGAAATTAATTGTGACCTAGTCATTAAGCTTAATACAGCCTTCTGATCTTAGCCAATCATTAGAAGCAGAGTTTAAGAGATAAAGGATATTTGATTGCTCCAGCCTTTGACTCCATATTTTGCATTTAACGTGTTCTGCTTTTGGATTGGTCGTTAGAAGGTAAACATGGGCTAAACTGACAAGTGTATTACTATGGCTGATCTCTCTGAGGAAACCACATTGTGAAGCAGGGAAAGCATAACTAAGTGGAGGAAATACCCTGCATGTCTGGTTTGCCTCTGATATGCCTAGAGATGACGTTGTTTCCTTCCCTGCCCATCCTTGTCCAAAGCCCTTCCTAGAATGTAGCAAGCTATTCCTGTAGCTCCTTAAATATCTGTCCTGTCCCAAAAGGATCCATAATAATAATAATAATTTTCTTTGTTCCTTCCAAGCAATGAAATCTTTTACTCTTTCTCCTACTCATGTCGGTTTGCCTCTGATATGCCTAGAGATGACGTTGTTTCCTTCCCTGCCCATCCTTGTCCAAAGCCCTTCCTAGAATGTAGCAAGCTATTCCTGTAGCTCCTTAAATATCTGTCCTGTCCCAAAAGGATCCATAATAATAATAATAATTTTCTTTGTTCATTCCAAGCAATGAAACTTTTTACTCTTTCTCCTACTCATGTCTTAGAGTGAATTATTGAGACTGTAAGTGCCAGTTGATGAGAGAAAGGGGTGGACTAATCTGGGGATCTTGAAGCTATTCTGCTCTCTGAAAACCTGCACTTCTGTGGTGCAACTAGAGGAATTTAAGCAAAACTCTGCTACACGGGTGTTGTTGGGCTGCAGCTCCTGGCACTTCTTGCCACCAGCTTTGCTGGCAAGGGCAGAGGTTTATTGCTGTCCGACAAGATCTGGATGGGTAGACTTTGCCCAAACCTGGTTTACAAGGGCAAAACCAACAGAAAGCACCCCACCGCCCCGAGGAGACATGAACAGAACTGCCTCTGGTGCAGTAAAAGCCAAAAAAAGGAGAACGTGATCGTGAGTGGAAGTCCAGCAAAAATCTGGCCCGGGGAGATGCGTTTGTCTGGTTCATAGCCAAATTATCTATAAACGTGGAGAAGGAAAGGGGGGGAAGGCGTCTCGAGTTCCTGAGATGTGAAAAGGCAAACAGATCCTTTGTTACATGGAAAGAAAACTCTTCTGGAAAAAAGAAAAAGAGCAAACAACCGGTATAAATAAGCCAAGAGGGATGGTTTTCACATTGATACGCTGACGCTGCTCAGCAAGCATGAAAGGGGGCTGTTGCGCGTGCCACTTTTGTTCTCGAGCGAAGTACACAGGGAGGGAACAGAGTCCACGGTCAAGAATGTAGTTTCTGGTTCCTCCACGTACTTGTAAACATGGAGCAGCCCTCTGAAAGACCAACTGACGCGTAACGTGGATCGTGGGCTTGTTCTGCATCGGTAGAGAGGGAGCTGCCTTAAAACAAGTCCGATTTTGGGTCTCTCTAGCCCAGGACTGCCCACTCTGACTGGCAGATGCTGTCCAGGAGTTCAGACCTGACTCCTTCCTAATTCTACCTTTCGATATCTGGCTCTCCTCAATGATCTCCCAGCTGACTTACAGGCTCACGACACGGGCCTTTAAACAGGCCACTGTTTTGTCTGGTGTGGGAATGGGACAGTGTGCTCCTTTGGCTGGCAGTCGGACAAGGTATTTGCTAGAGCATAACAGCTCATCCTCAGACAGTTCCTCCACACTCCTTTCTGAGTCCCTGTCAGGGGCTACCCTTTTTTAGGTGCAGGCTGGATGGCTCCTTTTTGGTTCGGTTCCCAGATGTGCGGTCTCTGGAAATGACCCAAAACAGAGCTTTCTCCTTTTAATTTCGCAGCTCATTTCAATTTCCCAACATCATTAGTGGCTTAAACAGACAGCTTGACCACTTCATGATATTGGGAAATTGGGAAATTAAAGACTTATTTCCTTTTTCTGCTCCTTGGCTCCTCTAAACTAATCAGGGCAGTGCTGAGTCTCAGCAACTCTTAGACTTTTTTTTTTAATTGAAGACTTCCTCCCGTAACTGGGAGGAGGCAGGCGGGGGCAAAGAGGGGGATTTTCTCCTTTGCATTACAGCTTTTCTTAAAGTAGGAAGACCAAATAGGGCCACTTGAGGGGCATATGCCATGTGAATGCAAAGAACACGCCACATGCCATACCGGATCTTTATCTTGGGTGACCCTGTTTCGCCTGCACCAACCTGCTCCAAATGAGACATGTAGCCAACCCCTTAGAAGGGTTCGCTTTGATTCAAATGTTGACCGGCAATAACTCAGCCAAATTTCTGAAATCAAACAGAATTCAGGGTATTCTGATTCAATTTTGGGCAACTTACATGTACGCAGAGTTAAGCTTTCCTCTCCTTCGACGACAGTCACCGGAAGACTGTGCTCCTTCCGCTTCTTGGGGAATGAACGCCTCTGCAGATGTGGTTGTGCAGGTTGGGTCACAGCTTCTCTTGAATGGCCGGATGTGATGCTGTCTCCCCCTCTCTCCCCTGCTGTGTCAACCTGTCTTCCCAACAGCTGGAGGGCTACATCCAGGAGAGCGTGAGACTGGAAGTATCGGACAGCCACTTCAGCGCCGTGCAAAACCACACGGCGGCCATGCTGGAAATCGGCACCAACCTCTTGAACCAAACCGCCGAGCAGACGCGGAAGCTCACGGATGTAGAGATGCAGGTAAGCCAGACCACCAGGACGGGGGGGATCCAAATGGAAGCCCTTCTTTCCTCCTGTGCGCTGGTTCACCTGTACTTCTCCCCTTGCCTGCCGATTCTGCATGCACGGCTACACGACGGTTGACCAGTACCAGATGTCAATGCAAGCCATGGGGACGTTTATACTCCCTGGACCTTCAGGGCCAACAAGGTTCAGGAAGGCGCCTCGTAGAGAATCTGCCAATCCTCCTGTTTCTTTCTTCTCCCCCTTGACCATCCAGGTTCTCAATCAGACCTCCCGGCTGGAGATCCAAGTACTGGAAAACTCCCTCTCTACCCATAAGCTGGAGAAACAGCTGCTGCTGCAGAGCCACGAGATCAACAAACTCCAAGAGAGGAACAGGTTTGGGCTGGACTTATCTCTTAGGAGCCTTGTTTTGTTTCCGAGCTGGTATTTGCAAAGGCTGGGAAAGGGACCCTCTGTGAGCCAGAATCCTATTGTGGATTTACGGCAGTAATTGGGCCCACTGTGGCTGGCAAATTGCCGCTTGCATTCCTAGTCATGTGCCGAGTCGTGGGACTGATACATGAATGCCAGCAGCAACTCATTAATTAGTGACCCTTTGCCACTAGAAAGTCTGCAGGTACACTTACAGTGGTGCCTCGCTAGATGATGATAATCCGTTCCACTGAAATTGCTGTTTAGCGAAATCATCGTCTAGCGAAAAGCATTTCCCCCATTGGAATGCATTGAAACCTGTTTAATGCGTTCCAATGGGGAAGAATCGTCGTTGTCTAGCGAAGATCGGCCATAGGAAAGCTGCTTTGCGAACCACCAATCAGCTGTTTAAATCGCTGTCTTGCGAAGCTTAGATCCAGAAAACACCTGTTTTGTGAGCACGGAGGGAGATGTCAAAATCGTCATCTAGCGAAAATCAGTTTGCGAAGCAGGGACCAAACATTGTCCAGCGAAATTCCCCCATAGGAATCACTGTTTTGCGAATCGCTATAGCGATCGCAAAAAGTCAATGTCTAGCGAAAAAACTGTCATGCGGGATAACTGTCTAGCGAGGCACCACTGTATTATAAATCCACAATGGGATTCAGACCATGTTAAGTTTTATGATAACTGTTTGGACATGTCTGGATAATTTTCTATGCTTACAAGTTTCACATTTCCCCATCAGCAGCTCCGCTTTCCAGAGCATGGAAAAGTCACATTTGGGACGACAACTCCCATTCTGTGGAGGGTCTCACCATCCTTTTCTTCCCCAGCTTCCTAGAGAAGAAGGTCCTGGCTATGGAGGGGAAGAGAGAGGAAGAACTGAGAGGCCTCACCTCTGAGAAGGGGGAGATGCAGAGTCTGCTCTCCAAGCAGACGGACCTCATTGGCCACTTAGAGCAGCGTCTGGGACTGGCCCTGGTCAACAATTCGGCCTTACAGCAGCAGCAGGCTTCCCTGGCAGAGACGGTGAAGCATCTGGTCAGGCTGGTATCCCAGTGCAACCGTACGTAATCCGTTCCAAGCCCCCTCCCCATTAGATGCTGAAAAATGCGGATCATAGCCCATGCTGTTTTCACGGTGAATGCTATACACACAGCATGCTCTCTAGTGGCCAGTTCTGGTAATGACATTGTGGAAATATAGATTTCCAGGATTTTTTCTTTTAATATTTTTTAATATTTTCAGACTAGGGATAAGTGAATCACTGGATATTCATCCCATGGATAAGGGGGTCCTAGGGAGAGAATACTCAGCAGTGGTCTATCATTCCCCTTTTTCGGATGGGGGGGAGCCCTGGGACTGTGCGTCTTGCCCAAAGCCACCCAGGCTGGCTCTTTTCCCAGGAAGTCCAGAGGGGGAATCAAATTCCCAACCTCTTCTAAGCCACAGAGCTATCCAGCCAGTTCCTGGCCCACCCGGAACTTCAGACAACTACTCAGTGCTGGCCCAAAGATCACACATAGCATTTAAACTCATGCCTGGTCTGCACATTGTTCAATGTGGTCAGAAATGAGCGTTTTAGATAGCACACGAGTAGCACCGGATGCCCCATAAAGGCAGATACGATTCTATACAGGGAGATCTTTATATTTGAGAAAAGGAATGTTAAAGCCCTGAAGAATAATGACAAAAAAAAAACAGACAAGCTAATTTGCAAATTACTCGAAGTGAGAAAAGCTTCTGCTATGCACTCAGATGATTTCAGCAGTTAAGGACATTCCTTTTCAAATGATGGATGAGATGTAACATCCGTTCGTGTCCCTAAATCTCAGAGTTTATTTCGGGTAACCAGTGTTGTGTATTAGTCAGCTTTTGTGTGCATTCTAAGTATATTTTAGGAATCAGCAATGCCAGCAGACCTCTGCTACAAGGGAGCATGGCATTTTGTAGCAGGTGTAAATTCAACCAGACAAAGATATATGTGGGCGGGAACTTTCCAAATTGGGTAGCCATAGTGACAGCACCTCTTTATCTCATCCTTGCAGAAATATCTCTAGGGGCCCCAGAAGAACAGAAGACATTCAAGGACTGTGCGGCTGCATACAAGCTGGGGTTCACCACCAGTCGAATTTATACACTGAGGTTTCCTAACACAACAGCCACAGCTAAAGTGAGTGTGAGCTCTGGAGGGGCTGATTTACTATCTATCTATCTATCTATCTATCTATCTATCTATCTATCTATCTATCTATCTATCTATCTATCTATCTATCTATCTATCTATCTATCTATCTATCTATCTATCTATCTATCAAGCCTGCTTGATACCGTCATACATTCCCTTGATGTTACCTGTCTCCACTGCTATCTGTATCTGAGAGCAGAGCTGAAGCCATTAATCGCTGGAACATCTCCTGGCAGCCTGTTGGACTTGGCTATGAGCAGCTCGAAGAGCTTGCAAGTTGTACTCACTAGGACAGGCTTTGTATGCTGCTAGAGCTCTCCTCTTATCCTCGATGGCTGGCATCAACTTCTCC